GCTGTCCTATGCCCAGCAGGTGGTGCTCTTACAGTAACAGTAGCTGTCATACCTCTCATTCTCATTCTCTCATTCAGCGCTCATTGTCTGAATGTTATCGGGTGTCTTTTCTCTTACGTTTGTCCTGCAGGCTGGTTATAACTTGTGCGCAGCAGGCTGGCTTGACAAAGCGAGGGTAGCGTATCCCATGAGCTTCTCTAACCCGAAATGTGGATTTGGACACGTGGGGATTGTGGACTATGGTGTCCGCAATAACTTGAGTGAGACGTGGGACACATTCTGTTATAGAGTCAAAGGTAAAAGTCATCATGGGATATATGTGAAGCTGTGTATACAATCAGGGGGAATTTTTTGTTTAGATGGTTTGTGTGTGTTTCAGATGTGAAGTGTGAGTGTAAAATTGGCTACATTGGTGACGGATACTCCTGTACAGGAAACTTGCTGCAGGTTCTCTCAGCTAGACCATCCCTGTCTAACTTCCTGGCCGTGAGTAGAGCTTGTTTGTTTGATTGTTTGTTTTTTGTTAAAGCATTGAAATGATTTTATGGACATGGTGAACCTTCTATGAACCTTCTTTGTCTTTTTTTAGCAAATCCTGAATTACTCAACTTCAGCATCAGGAAAGGAGTTTGTGAATCGCCTAAGTAACATCACTATCCAGTCCACTCTCTTTGTACCTGATAATGATGGTCTCTTTAGCAATCAGGTGATTTCCACATACACCTTTTATACTTTTAAATTTTGCTGCCATTTTGTTTAAAGTATTTTTAAATATATTTTTAATATTTTTAAAAGTGTTTTTTTTTTTTTCACTTTTAATCTCACAGTAACCCCACTGATGCATGACTTGTACAACAGTGGACAGATTTTGAAAGTCTTTCAGCTCATAATTATATTTTATAGATAAAAATATTTGGTGTTATATTATAAAGACAACTTATTGTTAAAATTAAATAATTGGCTCTTATACTGTCACTATGCTAAAGCCAAAGCAAGTTATTAAAATATTATCTTTAAAATATTTACTTTGTATTAAGCTGTCAAAAAATGTTTTTACCAACTGTTAGAGTAATATTAGATACACTACCATTCAAAAGTTTTAAAAAGTTGAAATTAATTAAACAGTATTGATGCCTAATATTTTTGTGGAAGCAGTTTTTTGTCAGGATGCTTTGAGTACAGCATTCAAAAGAACAGCATTTATTTGAAATATACTTTTTTTTGTCTTTACTGTCACCTTTTATCCATTTTATTTGTCCTTGCTAAATAAAAGTATTAATTTCTTTAAAAAAAAAAAGTAATGATCCCAAACTTTTGAACAGTAGTGTACGTATAAAAAGAAATGTTTTCAAATTCAGATTTCGAATTTATTTATTTGTAAAGCAATTTTCACAATAAATACTGAATCATTCCAAAGCCGTATATAAAAAAAATTGTATTAAACACTTCATAAATACTGTAAGTAAACACATTAACAGTACTAAAAAATAAACTAGGACCCCAGACCCTAGTTTGAAAACCCCTGTATAGGCCCCCTTGGTTAATGCCCCTTATGTTCAACAGACTTTGAGCGGCAGAGACATAGAGCACCACCTACTGGATGGGAGGGCTTTAGTACTGCAGGCTCTTATTAACATCACTCATGTCCGGACACGACTGGGACACAGCCTGACCATCAAGGGTGTGCCTGATCTCCAGAACCCTCAAATAATGGTGAGGATGCAGACTTACTGTTAGAAATCATTAACAACGGTCCCTCTAGATTCTCTTTGCCACCTCAGATATTCTCAATCCCTCAAAGTGGATATAACGGCCGGGAAGTAAGAAAACACACATTCATATGTATTCTCAATACTTCAACTTTATTCATAGATACAAAGATATTATATAGGCATATGTCGAGGGGAGTTTCAACCCTTTAACCAATGAGGATATAGATGACATACATATAGGATCTTTGGCCAAGAACATGTGTTTATATAAAATGGCCATATGAACAGAAAAACATGGACATATTAGGAATAGACTTTTGCGAAGGAGGCTAAACTATCTTCATGGTTTCATCACGAACCTCATTCCTAGCTATCATGTCCTTATTTAGACATTTGAATAAGAAAAGCTAATGTATACATTTGCGCATGCATAGCTCGAATGTGAGTAAGAGACATTAAAACACCATACAAGAGAGAGAGAACAGATAGAGGAGGGAGAGTGAGAGGGAGAGGGAAAGAAAGGAGGGGTGAGGCATTCTCAAGACAGAGAGTGTTTTCTAACACTTACTTTCATTTATATCAAATCATTTGAGTCACGTGGATAAACGTGTTTAATCTGCTTGTCGTAACTCTCATCTTCATAGACCTCCTCGGGATACATCAACGACCGTTATGTCATAGACTCCGACATTTTGGCATCCAATGGGGTCATCCATGTTCTGCAGGGCCCATTGAAAGCACCTCCCCCTCCACCTCCATCCATCCACCCGGCTCATAAGGCTGGGATGGGCATCGGCGTCCTGGGGCTCATCATCCTCATCGTAGCAGCTGGATTTGTGGGATACAATTTCTACACACATAAAACAAAGCCATTCCAGTTCCATTATTTCAAGGTAATCCTTGTTTACGCATCTTGCTTGTGTTCACGTTTCTGTATTAGGGCTGTCAAAGTTCACATTAGTGGATTAAGTTAATTATTTATCAATAATTTATTTATAATTAAAACCTAGGCAGAAAGTTTAATGAAATTATTCTACTGAATGCCATGCACACAAATTGCCAAATGCAAGAATTACAGAAATTATTTTGTGTATTAGATTATTTGTGATCAAATAATTTAATCGACTGACAGCCCTATACACTTTCTTTTTTTCTATATGTGGTGTGTGTTTATACGTACATAATCACTTTATTTATTATATTTTTAGGAGGATGAAGATGTGAACCCATCAGAATCCAGTCCAAACATCAGTAATCCTGTATATGACTCTTTCCCTGCCACAAAAGAACAAACTCCAACGGTCAGCGAGTCAAATGTAAGAGAAGCAGCTTTTTTACCCAGCAAACACACAACGTCCCCCTAACATTCTCATATGGTTCCCATTTGGTTATTTTTTGGGAATCAAAAAAGTTCTCCAAGTTCTTTTTTTTTTTTTTTTTTTTACCAAAAACTAACCTTCCCAGAATACATTCTAATGGTTATTTTTAGGCTTAATTTTTATAACATAAACTAAATTTCCCCCAAAAATTGCAGGGATGTTTATAACCTCACATTTTATTTTTATAACAATAAACTAACCTTCCCAGAACGTTGCAGGGATTGATTTTTATAATAATAAAAAACCTAAATAAACCTAATAACCTATTCAGAATGTTCTCTAATAGTTTTTTTTTTAATAACCTGAAACTAACCTTCCCAGAATATTGCAGGGACGTTTTTATTTTTATTATTTTATTTTTTATTTTTATTGAAACATTTTGGGGAACCAAAAATGGCTAGCTGGGTATAAGCTTGTTATGGTTGCTTAAATGCTTAGAATTTTTATTATGTCTTACAAGACTTATTTTACATTATACCAACCTTCCCTATACTATTTCCTCAAATAAATGTGTTCAAATTGAAGTACACTAAAGTGGATCTGTTTTGTCTTTTGTAAAAGGAAGAAGACAAGCATCAAGTGATTTCCAGTGGATCCTATGACCTCCTCCAGGACAGCTGAAATCAGCACATCAAGCATAAACTATGGAATTATTTGAATCCTCTCTGTAGCAGAGCAGTGGGACATTCTGCTGCAGTTCTCTTTGAGAACAGAAGAGGATGCTGTCAACTCCATGTCACGATGACGGGACAGTGGAACACTAGACTGAGAAATCAATCTGAATCTACTGAGGTTGTGTATGCACCTTCTTTTTTTTTTTTGGACGAGTGATTATTTGTATGTGTAAAAGTTTTGAATTTGGTTACCAGCAGTCTCTAAATTCTGTTGTACTACAGGCATTAATAAATGCCCAGCATACAATGTTTTAAATAACTGCCCTGCTTAAAGCACAAATTAAATGAAAAAGAGATTATAAAAATTGTGAAGGTTGTGAGCTCTATATATCTATTTTATGCATAATAAGTCTTTTGGGGTTGCCATCTTTGACACATTTGACACATGCTTAATTATCCAAAGCACCTTAAAAGTACATGCACCTGAAAATAAAATCTGTTAAACAAACTGATGTGACAATTTTGTGTTCAAATTTCACTCTTGACAAAAGTTGTGCACACTGATTTTTAAAAACTACAAAAGTCATGAATTAAAACCAGAAATTTGAACGAGACACTGTGGAAGAAGGTTCAGAGGTAAGAGTACATGATTTAAGAATTGTGGAAAAAAGTGTGGAAACCCTGCTCTTGCCAAACTGCACATATCGTTAAATAATTTGGGATGCAACTAGTTTGTTTTGACCTTTTCCTTTTATGACAGTACTCCTCACACTTTGCTTTCTTTTTTTCTCTCTCAAAATTCTTAGTGGGAACAAAAAACCAAAGTTTATACCATGGGCATTTGGCTTTGAATTGAGAACATCAGACATTTTATCTTTCTTACCCCATTGGTTGCAAGCATATCTAGATCATTTACTGAAACTACTAAATGTGTGTTGTTATGCTGGCCGAGACTTTGCCCAATCATATTTTTGTTTTTAAATTTATGAAATATAAACTTAAGTCCTCTCACCTTTGACCGACCACCTCAGGTTTGTAGTTTCACGTAATTGACCACAAGAGGGAGCTGATGTTCACCAATTAGTTACATGCATTTATTCTCATTTAACACAACAAATATGGAGTTTTGCTGGAGTATGAAAATGTTCATGTATTTGTCGCTTGTGCATATAGTAAATGAGCCAAATTGAAGCAACTATGAGTCTGTTGACCATGTAATACGACATGACACGTTATAAAGTGAAGTGCAGTTTTCCATCCGCTCCACTAGGCGGCAGAAGCACTTTCAGAGACTTCGGATCCTTGACAACATGAAAGTGATCAGAAGATGTAGAACCTACAGAAGACACACAACGGTTCATATCAATGTGAGTTACTGAAAAAAAACCCCACATGAAAACAAGCACTACACTCGCGTCTGTGGCTTTTGAATGACGCGTTCGCACAACACACGTTTATCGAAATGTGATATTAAAATGTGAAGTTATTAGGGAGTCAGTTAATCGTTTAATAAAATGTAATTTCACTCAACCTAACTGTGTGGACGGAGCTACGAGATACAGTTCCTCGAATTGAGTTTCCAGAAAATAGAACAGAGGCTGTTTGTAAATGTATCATCGACGGTAATATTGTTGAAAGAAATGTAATGTCTCAAACATTTATGAAATTATAAATAGAAAGCATCGTAAACACCATATTCACACTTAAATGATCAAATATCAATATTTACTTGGCAGGCGGAGAAAATTTGTAACTGTACACATGTAAAGTGATTTAAAGGACAAAACGAAAAGACAGTTAAATATATCTTTTAATCAAGCGATGAAGAGCTGGATTTGGTGGGTGCGTTTACGTGCTGTCAAACAGTGTGATTGATTAACGAATCAGACCAATAGGAGTGGAGAACTGCACCGCCTCTCGTTCCTGATTGGTTGTTTTATTTAAAGGGTGGGGCATATTATTTAACCAATAGCAGCGTGGAAGAGAGGAAAGGTGTGTCAGTTTAACAGGGGCAAGTTCAAGCTCAAACCGGTGTGCAACGTTTTGCTACGGTTTCCGGTTTGAACGACATGTTTCCTGGAAACGGTGTGCAACGGGGTTTGAGATGCGTTTTCTCTTGTTTGGTGGGTGTGTCAAACATGTCAGCTCAATCAGCAGCAACATGTATATAAACCACGCGGTATTAAAGAGACAGCTCGCACAATGTAATTAACATCAAAATAAATTCACAAGAAGTGACTGTACCATCGAGCGTATTTTGCAGTATTAAACACGTATTTATACCGATTTCATCCGGCTCTGAAAATTCTTCAAAAAGAACACAAAGAATGGCCTTCTCAGCTGCCATAGTTAACTCTTGCGTCATCAGAACAGAGTGTTCAACGCACCACCGTTTCCGTTTAAAAAACGTTTTGCACCGTTTTGTCGGTGCCCGGGTCGCACTAAGACTGTTTTCTTCTTTGATCTAAAAGTGATCATTTTTCTTGTCCACTTTGTAATATTTATTTATTTAACAATAAAATAGCCTTGAAAATGTATCTTAATCCTGTTGCTTTTCATACACGGGTCAAAGCACACACACACACATATAAAAATAAATAAAAATGAATGATTAATATATATATATATATATACATTTTTATTACCACTTGACAACAAAGTGGCTTGCGTGATAGTAACACGTTAAATTCATGGACTTTGATTTGATAGACAACATATTTAAATATTATAAAAACTAAATTACTTTACATTTTACTTTAAAGACCACAGGGAAAAAAAGTCTTTTAGTTCAGGTGTATTGAATTTAGTTTCTGTATATGAATAGAATAGCCTTGAGTGTCATGAAATGTGTGTCATGTCTTTGAACTACATATGTCAATCCACTGGTTTTAAATCTTTGTCTATAATATAGTTAAATTTTTTTAAACATCTAAATGATTTAAAAATGTATTTTTTTTTAAACAAACTCATATAGTACATATTACATAAAATTAAAGTCTTTGTTTATCTGTGTTTCATTTTGTGATTATATGCGCTTCCCCTACAGAGTAAGGGATGTGTTTGAACAGAAGCAGAGCTCTGGGACGTGTGGACAGACTTTCACTGTAATGATGGACATCTGCTCATGGACAGGTAAGACTCATAACTTATGTTTTTGTTTTGGTGTGTACTAAACATGTAGGTTACCATCATTTTCTTTTTGGAGGGTCACCCCTCTGGAACGCAAATGATGGTAACCTAAACAGGTGGGGAAGGGACGGCGAAGCTGAAAATTTATACAGCTAAATTTTTTTTTTAAATTTTTTTCTGTCAAGAAGTATAACCCCTGCTGGACATTGTGCCGGGGCTCGGGGGGGACCCGAATCATCCCCACTCCTTCATTCACACAACACTTACTCATATCGCGGAGATCTGGCTGGGATTGAACCAGCAACCTCTGAACCATGAGGCAGCGCTCTAACCTGCGAGCCACAGATCTCTTGTCTGAACATGTGAAGGAACCTATATTTCACTCTTCACCTGCATGTGATTCTACAATAAATCAGTCAAAGCTATCAGCTGTTTGAACACACTGAGGTGGGATTTGAACCCATGCCTCAATCACAGCCTTATCAGCCAAAAACTTGTGCTTAACCACTAACCCACTGTTGCTTTCACGTTTTGTACCTGGCTTTTGTGGAACTTTGTTCAATGTAATGACGACAATTTAAAGCAAGCAACAGTGAGATTTGAACTCTGGTCTCCTAGATGAAAGTCCAGAGCTTTATCTACTGAGCCACTGAATCTGTGGAGTTGTTTTGTGTTTTGGATGAGGTTTTATTAAGAACTTTGTTTGAACTGATGAAGAACAATAGTATTTGTGGGATTTGAACCCAGACGTTGGTGAATGAAAGGCAAACGCTCCTCCACTGAGCCTGTGGCATTTTGCTGTTGTTTGATGTTTAGTTTAGCAACTGCATCATGAAATATTTAATAAGCAATAGATGCTCAAGTTTGAAGGCAAGCAATTATCCTCGGCGCCACAGAGTTTGTGACAACAGGGTTTTACTGAGATTTTGACTTTGTTTTACATGATTTGATCTCAGGACTCGCAAGATCAATGTATTAATAAATCAGTCAGTCACTTCAAATGTCAAAATCAAACTGATAAACAAACAACATGTAAATAACATAATTTGTTAATTTTTATATTATTATTCTTTATTTTAATAAGAAACATAGGGTCCAACAAACGTGCCGGGAAGTTTCTAGTGGTCCTAAAGGCCTTGATTAGCTGCTTCAGGTGTTTTCAGTCAGTTTGGAGCTAAACTCAGGAAAGTGGCTCAGCAGGAGCAGGATTAAACAGCCCTGTTCCTAATGCAGTTTTACAGATGATTGCAGATACACGTATTGTCCACAAGGTGGTGCTGTGTGCTGACAAACTGATCAGAACTCAGGCATGTGTCTGTTCTATTAATTATTAAATATGTCGCCTGCTCACTGTCGCCCTCCTCCATCCATAACCTCCTCCTCACCCATCCAGAGCTTCCGATAGACTCAGAGCAGGATGAGGATTGGGAAGCGCTCGCTATCCAGATGCTCCTCAAAGGGGGAGCTGGAGAATCCATTCCATTTCCCAAAAACCAATCGACCATTAACATAAATGCTGCTTGAGTCTGCAAAAAAAACACAAGAGACAACACACAAAAATCGTTTAACTGTGAACAAACATGATACACATACATTTAAATAAATAAAAAGAAATGCACAATCTCATTTACCCAAATACAAGAATATAGCGGACACTAAAGCACAAACACGCATAGATTTGTTGATGTGTTGTTGTTTTTTAAACCTAAAATCTTGTTTAAATAGGCCACTTGCTATTTGACAATTAAGTATGTATCAAGGCAGTTGTTACCATGCCTATGTTTTTATGTACTATTATAAATACTAACTTTTAAATTCTGATGGTTTAGATGTACTATATAAAGTAATGTCTGTTTATTTCTCTCTTTCCTCTACAGAGTAAGGGATGTGTTTTGAACAGAAGCAGAGCTCTGGGACGTTTGGACAGACTTTCACTGTAATGATGGACATCTGCTCATGGACAGGTAAGACTCATAACTTATGTTTTTGTTTTGTTGTGTGCTAAACATGTAGGTTACCATCATTTTCTTTTTGGAGGGTCACCCCTCTGGAAAGCAAATGATGGTAACCTAAACAGGTGGGGAAGGGACGGCGGAGCTGAAAATTTATACAGCTAAATTTTTATTTTTTTCTGTCAAGAAGTATAACCCCTGCTGGACATCGTGCCGGGGCTCGGGGGGGACCCGAATCATCCCCACTCCTTCATTCACACAACACTCACTCATATCACAGAGATCTGGCTGGGATTGAACCAGCAACCTCTGAACCATGAGGCAGTGCTCTAACCTGTGAGCCACAGATCTCTTGTCTGAACATGTGAAGGAACCTATATTTCACTCTTCACCTGCATGTGGCCACTGATTTTTCAATAAGCCAATTAAAGACTTTCATTAGAAAGCTGAGGTGAGATTCAAACCCATGCCATGATCACAGGTTTAGCAGTAGAGAACGTGCGTTTAGCCACTGGCCCAACGTGGCTTTTATGCTCAGTGCTGGTGTTTGAGCCACTTCTTTGGTTATACAACACCAAAACAATTAGGATTAATGTGAGCAATAGTGGAATTTGAACTCATCCATGAATACAATGCAAAACTTTATCCACTGTGCCACTGTTTTAATGAGAGTTTTGTTGTGCAATGTTTCATTTATAAATGGATCGACTTTTCAGTTTAACTTCAGCAGCTTATCTTGACCCACTGTGTTGAGATGGCAATGCCATTTTAAACGTGAACATTTTGTGAACTAAGCTTAAAGGTTGGTAAAAGCATCTGGTCCCTACTTTTTCTGTGCAACCATTTCTTTTTTCTCAGGTGACCCTACGCAGGACAAATGGGTTGGAGAATGGATGGAAGTCTTAAACAGTTTTGCATATTTTTCTGTACTACCCCAGATATGGCAGCTTGTTACAGCTTTGCATGTTAACATAAAGCTCTGCATGCAAAACCTTAAGCCTGAAACTTTTGTTTTTGAAAGTTTTCTGCCTTTCACGTGGGACCTTTAAAGACTATGGGATTTTTGTTGTTGTTGCATCATATCTTCTGATATATTGTGAAACTGGTTAGTTTCACCAGTTTTTTGTAATGCAGTTTTTTTTTTTTTTGTCTGTTTCATGAACATGAATCACTTTGCAGGATGGCGAGCAGCTGCATTAGCCATTTTTTATAGATTCATAGATCATAATAATCTTCCATTTGAATAAACCCAAGACAAACTAATACGCATTGTCTAAAAACAGACTGGATTTGGGAAAAAAAAAAAGTTTTATTTGAATTTCTTTGACTTACACATGCATAAAACAGTACATAGTACATGGTATTCACTGATATGGTTATAGTATAACAATATCAAGAGTTCGCAGGCAAAATGAAAAATTTTCCCTCCCAATAAAATTACGTAAACATCCAACTATAAAAAAAGATGCTGAGAACATGCAGCAAATGGTCACATAAGAATAGCCTAGAGTATAAAAGAAAAACATTAAAGAACTGCTATTTTGATTTGTCATCTTTGGTTTTAGCTTGGTGCAAACACTTATAAATACTGTTTCAGTTACTGTATATACTGCAAATCCTAAATGAATAAGTAACATTTCAATGAATTAATATGTTATGGCATTTACGGTGTAATTCTTTTGAGTTTCACTGTGAGTGGAGCTTCTTGCTTTCATTGTAAAATCACAGTGACTTTCAGTTTCTCAAATTTCACAGTTACAGACTTAAGTGATGATTGTCATGTTTAAACAGTCTTAGTCATCATCTGTGGCACTGGTTTCAGGTGAACGCGAGGACGCTTCCCTGACGAACTCATCCTCTTTTAGCATGCTCTGGAGAACACAGGAGAAACTGAGGTAAGGACAAGAGAGACCACAGCAGATACAGTACAGCAGGAATAGTCTTACAGTCAGGTTGTTGATTCCCTCCGAGAATGCGCCGATCTGTCGCACTGTGCCCTCGGAGTCCTCCATCTGCACAGAGAATCACAACATAATTTAAACAATTTAACAATAACATCCAACTATGACCAAAAAAAAATGAGAATATGATTCACAATTTAGCTGCATTGCATCCTAGTCTGTAGAACTGCCTATACCTGCTCCAGCTGATCCAAGCTGTCCTCATATATGCAAAGGCCTTTATGGAAACTGCTGCTCTGAGGCATCTGCACATCCATGGGGCAAACATACTCTTCCATCTCCTCCTGTCGCTTCCGCCTCAGTGTCCCAAAACTTCCAAACGACAGACGTCTTGGCTAAAAGGAGGAGAGGATAGTAAAGGACAGGTAAAACTTTATCAACATGCTGTTATTACGTTAATAAACTGTTGTATTCCACACATTAGTGACATTCAAGGTCCCACAGGCAAGTCAACCTTGCACACAGTTACTTGCCTTAACTTTGGCTGTGGCTGTCAGGACAGTGTAATCTGGGTTTTCGAGATACTCCTGCTTCAGCCTTTGTGCCTCTGAGCCAATCAGAAGATGGAAGTTGTTTGCAAGGTGACGTCTCAACAGAGTTTTATTCGGTGGGATGTTAAGAAGCAGAGCCATTGTCTCAACATTGAAGCGAGGCTCTAAAACCTGAGAAAGGCAAGTAAAAAATAAGTAAAAGCAATGTGAATTTGAACTTTATGATATTTCCTGCCCCACTGCATGTACCATTAGACCTCCGTGGACTCCACTTCCTCTCAGGTTGGGTGCGTACTCTGCTAGATCCACTGAACGAAGCCACTCCATCACCCTGTGATTGGTCCATTGACAGATTTCTGCTGGCGTGGGATTGTTCTAATCAAAGGAGGAAAAATAGAGCAAAATTCAAAGTGAATGGAGCTTAGTGTGGTAGCATAATGACAGGTTGTGCTACCTCAGTCGGTCGGCGGCGGAGGCAGTTGGGGTCATAGCGGTTGATACGTAGCACCTGAATGGCCCTCTTAATACTGAGATGGTGAAGCACACTGCCCACTTTCAGTCCCAACAGGTCATCCTAACCAAAGATAAGTAGAACCTTAGAATTGCATTTTCCACAAAAACATTAATAATTTAGTAGTTTCTTGAAAACCAAATCAGCATATTGGAATGATTTCTGAAGGATCATGTGACACTGAAGTCTAGAATAATGGCTACTAAAAATTTAGCATTGCCATAATAGGAATAAATTACATTTAAAATATATTAAAAGGCATTGCAATATTTAAATAGTAATATTATTAGGATTTATTTATTTGATACCTACCACAGTCATATAGTGAAGCATGCGGCCATCCACTCTGCCCTCGTCAAACTGAGATTTATACTGAGGTAGGCCGATGTCATCCAGCCATCCTTTGAGATAATTACAATAACCCTATTGGTACTCGCACTCTTTAATAAAATGTTATTAGTGCATCCCTAGTACTAGGTCTTGTCAGTCCTAAATAACATTCGTAATCAACTATATTCACAGACATTTGGCTTAAATTATTTATAAAAAAAAAAAAGATTGTTACTTACGAGTAACCCAGTTGTAGTCCAGTTTACCCATGGCATCTTCCTCCTCTGAGCCCAGTGACTGAAGAGCCAGCTGCAGTTTCTTTCTATGTAGAGGATGCCTGATGCCCATTTCCTGAAGTGCAAACAGAACTATCATACAGCACACAGAATAACCTAATCTATAGTCTATATAGACAAGAAGAGTCAAGTAGCCTTGTGTAGCCTTTTCAATAAGATGATGTGTTACACTAATTTGAAAATGTAGGGCAGCTTAGGAGACCTTTTCCAATTCATGCTGAGACGCCTTCAATAATGTCTGTCCAGAGCTGATCCATTGCTTAGCCTGATTTACATACAAGCCCAGATCATGGTTCTGCAGCCACTCGCACACTTGCTCTTTACTCCACCGTGAAAATGGGCTGTCCAGCTCGCTGACAGAGACATTTACAACATTACATTTTGCAGTGCTTGGGGGAAAAAAAAAGAAACTAACGAAAGAACTCTTAATAAACAAACTGCAGGTACTTGTTATTGCTTCGCTGCAGATCACGTGACCAGCCCAGTCTGGGTCCCGCTGTGGCTCGGACTCCCCCTCTCCTAAACTCTGACTCTGGAGAATCGCCCAGGTCAGAGGAAGTGGACTGACTTCTCTTCATCCTAATGAAGGGATTATACATATGTATAAAAGTTAATATCTTCATCTTAATAACCACTGAAACTTATTAACATATTAAGAAAAACATTAAAAAGACCTTCCAAATAACTTCATGATCCCCTTCGATTTCTTCTTCCCTTCGGGCGAGTGTGTCACTAATGCTTTTGTCTTCTGAGTTTGCACTCCGGCCAAATCCAAGTGCTCAGTTCCCTTACGCTCTCCTTCAACTGCCAATATATAACCAACAATAGGGTGAATCTTACAACAAATTGCCAAGAAATATGCATACTTCATCTCAGAAGCTAAATGTAATGTATATATGTAATAAATATATATATATAGCAGTTTTTAAATAAAAATGCTAACAAAATGTTTTACAGTGTCTGGCCTGACTCACCCAGATTGGGAGCACTGCTTGTCATCTTGTTGCCTCTGATCCTGAAAAAGCCACGTCCAAAAGAGGAACGTGTTTTTTTAGAGCCAAAACTCTCATTCCCCCCTGAGCTGGGTTGAGTTGTGGAGACAGATGGAGAGCCTCCATTTTTACTGGCTTCATCCTAAAATATAACAATCAAGTTTGCTGGTCTTGGTTAAGATATTGCACGTTTTGTTTTGTGAAACGATTGCCTCAAAAAACCTCTCAAGTTCTAATTAAAAACAAATTAGACGCTTCGCAATCAGCATCATTTATAAAAAAAAAGTACCCAGTGCAGCAGTTTTATTGTAAATATAGCATTTTATCAGGCTCATGTTGATCTAATTTTACTATGAACTAGGAAAGTGTGCTGGCTTGTGTGATGTGAGATGCTATAGGGCAGGGGTGGGCAAACTTGGCCCTTCCAGGCCCCTTTCCTTCAGAGTTTAGCTCCAACCCTAATCGAACACACCTGAACCAGCTAATCATTGTCTTCAAGACTACTAGAAGGCTACAAGCAGGTGAGTCATATCAGGGTTGGATCAAATCTCTGCAGGAAAGTGGCCTGGAAGGGCCAAGTTTGCCCATCACTGCTGTAGGGGGAGCCATTATGCTTACAGGAGAACAGTGGCATTATTGTGTGCAAGTGGAGTTTTTAACCAACAGGGGGTGCCAGAAAGCTAAATATGCAAATCTCCAACTTTTTTAAAGGATCTTATTAACATATCTAGTTCATAATTTCTCATATAGATTAAGTTGGTACCTCATTATTGCTTGTCAAACGAGACCTTTCAGGCTGCTGTACTTCAGAGACACTGAAAAAGCAAAATGGAAGAAATCAAATCAGTCACAAATTTAATAATGTAATAATAAAAGTATGCAATAAAGGCACAAATCTCATTATCTTCAGGTAGAAGGTGATATGTAAGATATGATGAATTTTATCTGCTAATTTATTTTTTATAAAATTCTTACTTTTACCTCAAATTTACATTCTTACGTTTACCTTTTTTTCCTTACAATAATTTTTTTTTTATTATTATTTTATATTTTTAAGCCCTATTTTATATCTAGCTATTTTGTATTGAAAATCAATACAGCTTTAAATATAGTACATTTTATCTATTTTTTTTTTATCTCTACTTTGTTCCCCAATCATGAAAAATGCTTGAATACAATAGATCTTCGTATGAACACAGTTTAAATAACAGATAAGTAAACAGACCTGTCAGTGATCTCAGCTGCAGGTTTGTGTGTGGTCACTTCAGGGAGCAGCTCTGAACATGGAATGAGCTGAGGCTGTATGAGAAACAATAACAACACTGATGGATGCGAGTATGCAAGAGAACAGCAGTGAGAAAAGTATTTTCCCTGAG